AAAATCCCCGCTTACATTCGTACTGAAATGCATATAAGTGAACTCATGCACTCACACACCTGCACAACACGTAGCCCAGTATGGCACATGTATGCGCATAGCTGCCAGTTGTTTGAATGTATTTGTATGGGAGTCTTGCTGCACCGTACCATCTCTGTTTTTGTGAATATTTTCTTTTTTTCCGTAAGCTACTCCGTAGTAGTTGTAGTTACATTGCATTTATATTTACATTACTTATCAACATATTATTATATACACATAAATACATACGTACATACATACATTCAATATAAACAAAATTGCATTTTAATGCATATAAAATATTTTATAATTATAAAGCTTTTTTTTTTGAATTGTGAATTGTGAAAAAATCATGAAATAAATATAATATTTAATTTTTCAAAAAATTCATATATTTTCTTTAATTTAAATAAGCTCAAATGAACAAATTATGTATTTTTATTATAAAAATACAATGAATCAGATTAACAAGGTATAAAAACTTAAAAAATATGATAAATATTAATACTTATTTCTGAAAAAATGTACAGCGAAATTTATTACAAAATATTATTATTTAAAAGTATATATTTACTCAATTTTTTATTTGTGGTAACTAACTATTTGATAATACAAAAACTTATTTTAAATAATTCAAATTGAAATAATTTTTGAAAATTCGTGAAATCGGTTTTAATATGGTTCAACTTAGCGTATGAGTAAAGAAACAGTACTGAACAGTTCGAGAACGCTTAGGGAAATACAGTAAAGATCAACTATTTGTTTCTTTGTAAGTATGTTCATTTCAAAATATTACTGGATTAGAAGAGACTTCTCTCAATTATCAATCTTTCTCTATTTGAAGTAGATTTTTTGTCATAAGATATAAAATTTATAATTAAAAATGTGTTTTGTTGGTTATAGCATGCGTAGACTATGGGTGAGTGAGGGAATAAAAACGATTTCAATTAATGTGATCTTCTTCTTTATTAATAGATGAAACTAAGACTTATTCTGCTATTAGGAAAATTAAGAAAAAAGTGAGCTATTGTGAGAAAATATTAAGTTAATTAAACGTATTGGTATCTTTACAAAAATTTTAAACATATCGTATATATAAATGAATTTAAATAGACTTTTGTGTACAAAATATTTATAATTAAAACATAAGTTTATGTTTAAATTTTAAGTAGTATTTAACATCATTAACATAAACAAATTCGTGAATTTAAATAATATATACAAATATTATGTATAGTAGAGAAAATGTCAAGAAAGGGGTTTTTAATACTGTAGTTTATTACTCATACGACTTGTATCATTTTAAAAATATTGGTTAAATTTAAAAGGCGCTAATTTTAGATCTGTTTCACGAAATACAAATATTGAATAAAATGTAATAATACAAACAATTGTAGTTTATTAAAACGGTAATATAATATATGAAAACAAAATAATATATTAAAAATTAATATTTTATCTATAAAAACAAAATAGTATATTAATATATTTTGTTTTATGCACAAATTAATATTAATATTACTATTATAAAAAATATAAATATATAGTACAATATAGATATAAATATATAAAATAAATATTTTTTTAAGATGCTGTCTAATATACTGTCTTTTATTAATAAAAATATGCAATTAATTTCAGAATAAAATATTAAGAAAATTATATATGTCATTTTAAAATATTTAAATAACTGTTATTTCAAAAAAATTGACAAGTGTACAGACAGTTTTGTTACATTATAAATTTACAATAAATTCATTTTAAGTTATTATAATTATTTATAAGTTTATTCGTAGTTAAGAACTTTTAAGTAGTGAAATTTTATTTCAAATTTAAACATTCAACTTGGAAGCTCAAAGAGATTTATGAGTTAGTTGTTTCAAAATGTAATTCAAATAGTAATTTTTTGTATTTTCTATATAATTACAGATAATTTTTTAGGTAAAGTTTTTTAAGAGAAAAATATTTTTATATGACATGTAATTTACTTATTTTATATGAGAGTTATTTAGAATTTTTATATGCTATTATATGTATAAATATTTTTTGATTTTTTCACAAACAGAAACTTAATTTAACAATTTTCGTAATTCGCATTTTAAATATGTAGTTACCATATCAATTTTATTATATCTAATATAAATAATTTAAAACGTATTCTGGTTTAGTCAATATAACTAATTATATTTGCATTAATTTACTATAAATACAAAATAAAATTATTTTAAATAAATCTTTAATAATTTACTAACATTATTTTGCTAATATAAATACATATTTCACTACTTTAATTTGATAACTTGAATATGTTTTTGTTTTCTGATTTCTATTTTAATTTTAATTTAAATTGTAATTGAATTCATTATTGTCAGCAGTTTGTAGTATATTAAAATTAATACTAAACATTATATTACAGTAACTTTATTCATAACTATTTATGTATACTCTTTTATACTAATTTTATTAATTAACATTACATTTATTTGATAACATCGCACCATAACAGAGAGAGCGATATTAGCGCTACACATTGCAACATACAATTAACATTTTTACAGTCACTGTAGTGAGAAAGCTAATGAGTTTAGTCGGTAACTAACATTTTTACATCGAAATTTAAATTTTTAATTACATCAACACATGTAAATATGTTTCATCAATATTTGCAATATTTTTATTTACTTATTGAGTATATTTAACCAATTTTTATACACTTAATATATTATTTATTAATTCAAAACATTTTTTTAATACACACACATTTTAAAAATAAAATTTAATTTTATAGGTAAATAGTTATTTTTACTTAGCATTAAACTAAAGCATTTAAGCTATGGATATTGTTCAGTTGATTTATATATGCTGAAATGTAGTTTTTGAACGTTTGCTTGACATAGTTTAGTTCAACAAATTATTAAAATCTCTTAATTTTTTCTTAGAAAACTTGTATGTTTTTCTTTAATTAAAAGTTTCATCCATTGAATGTTAATATGATTTAATAATCCAAAATTTTTTGATGGTTGTTTTTAAACAAAAAGAATTTTTTTATGTTATTTAAAACTATTTTTTATGTAGCTGATTTGCGGCACAAATCTGTTGCCATCCAGCAGATTCTGTTCTATTTTATTCACAGAGTGTATTGCTTTTACTAAGCTTTAATATATACTGATTCATTCGATAATAGTATATGAAGACAGATCCTTTAATCAGTAGTTCTTAAATTTATAGCGAATTGTAAGGTGTGATTTGGCTGTTGTGCCAGTATAGGATTCCATCTCCCTCGCTGCGGTTTAAATTTATAGCACTGTGATCACCTTGTATAATATTTCCTCTTAATTCTCCTAATGCATAGCTTAAGATCATAAACCTCTTTGTCACTTTATTATGATGTATATACTTTTAATGAGTTTTCGTTTGATTTTATGAAAGTACTCTTTTGTTCTGAAGGTTGTAAATATCTATTATGATTTACAACAATAAGTAAAATCTATGTAAAATTGATAAATACTAATCGATAATTGAAAACGTTTACAATGGCTTA